GGGGGAATCAAGCTTCACCACTGCGTGCTTTTTCTATCCAAAAAAGGGTAACTTTTTCATTCCATTTTATTTATTCCTTAAAAATAGGACCACGACCAAAAAAGGGAAGATTTTAAGAATGTTTTATTGTTCCTACGTATGTATAAACTTGGTTAGAATTCTTGGAGCCTAACAAAATAAAATCGTTCCATTATTCAACTGTGGATCCCATTGAAGTCATTTTTTTGGTAAGAAATGCATTCGGATTAGTCGGGTCCCAAAGTGGTATGGAACACAGTACAAAAAACAAAAACAATATACCATCTTTGACCAAATTAATTTGCTTGATAAAAACTATATATACGTAGCAATTAAGAATTTGTTGAATAAGTTTCCTTGTAGTTCTTCGATTTCGAAAGCAAAATTTGTCGAAAAGAATAATCAATAATGAAAACTTGAAAGGCCCATATCCCTAAATACAGCAAAATGCGGCGCACATTTAAAATGTTTATCGTCCATGAGTCTAAAATGTTTAGTTTTGTGTCATTGTTTTTGTAGATTTGAGGATCCTTTTGGTTCATTCCTATTGTCTAACATGGACGTGTTCTCTGAAGGACAAAGCTGAATGAGTACATGATAAAAGAATCCATCAAATATAAATTTTAGATTCAATTCTTGAAATCATAAAAACTTCAGCTAAAATTTAAACCTAAGACCACGTATTCTCAATCCACACCACTCATTATTTACTATTATTAGATAAGTCGTCGAATTGGTGGAATAAATAACTAAAAAAAAGTACATCGTCGACTTTAATTTCAACCACTTTCTCATCCTAAATTTTTCCACTTGGATCAATCATTTGACATTTGAAGACCTTTATACTATCTTTTGAAAATGAAGCCCAAATAATTTTGTCTGTTTGGCATTTCTGCGCGTGGCTTTTGAATCAATTAATATGCTTCTTTCTTCAAGAGGAATAATTTAGGTTAATGGAAATCGACCGAAGAAAGTCAAAAAATGTAAAAAAGAAACATAGTAATTAGCAAATAAGGTAATAATTGATTTAATTTAATTAGGAAACATGTCATTTTTTAGAATTGAACATTTCAACTTTCAACTCTTTACTCATTGGAGGTGAGAAAGAAATAGAACAAAGAAAAGAAGAAATGTAGTTTGTAATTCTTGCAGAGAAATCTTTTTAGATAATTCACCACTAATTATGTTTGGGAATTTTTCGTTCCTATACTATATAGGAAACTATATTACGAAAAATGTCCATAATTTACAAATTACCCGCCCTACTAATAGATTTTCTACAAAATATAAACAACTCATTAAAAACAGAATCCTATTAGCTGTACAATTCCTTTAATAGGCGCACGAATGTTGGGATATTCTTCCAGATTTTATCAAACGCAAATCTCGCCTGTTTCTCTCCAAAATTCACTACTCTATTTTTACGGCAATACTCTGTTTCACTGGTTTTTCTGATTTCACAATTCAAAAGCGACTAAATTAGCCACAATTCTTCTGTAACAATCGCAATTATGTCGAAAATCCCAATTATGCTTCAACTGAATGGGAATTGGGATAACTATGGGAGATATAGAGACTTTCAGGTCGATGAAATTGTAGTCGGCGAGGATGCGAGTTATAGCCTATTGAATTCTACAATAGCAGAGCATCTAATGATAGATACATTCGAAAAAATAATAGA